ATGTTGCCTTTAGGACTATGAGCACAGATAATAAGAGTACCTGAGTGCAATGGCAATCTTCTTGACCCTGCACTCCGAACCATCTTCCAGCATACCTGGCTGGATCAAAGTTCTTCACCGTCATGACACAGAGTACACAATATACACAACACCCACCGAACATGATGACAATGTTGATATCCGTCTCAGTCATCATGTCCAGCCCATCCTTGTCATTCCCCTCATACTCAAGCAGACGTCCAGAAAAATGTAGAAGATGGAGAGCTAGATAAATGTAAGGTGCATTTTTTTCACTTTAATTCTTATGAAAAAAAAATGAAAACATTATTCTTGTTCCTTTTCCAGTGAGTTATTTATTATAAGTTTATTTAAAAATGGTAACAAAGCATCAAACGTGACAGTGCATTCTAAAACAGAAAATATGCTGAATACTAATGAAATAATAACAATAATAATAAGAAAAAAAGTATAGGTTATGATTCACCTCTAAATCCCTTCATATGAAATGCTTCTTAATCTTCTCAATGATGTCACGTAGTAGAACTCTATGCTTCTCGCCAATATCTTGTTTTGCGTCGAATTCTTCTACTAAATGCTCTGGTTCACATTCAATCTACAAAACCAAAACAAAAAATCAAAAAAATTGTCTGCTCGTTAAATGTCTGAAATCTCACCAAAAGAAAACAAAAAAAGCATTTAAAAGAAGAAAAAGAACACACAATTTAAACAAATGAAAAAAAAATAAAAAATGACCAAATAGTGCAGCGCAGACATAGAGACTAATTTTCAGCAACATATCAAAGAACTATATTAATGATAGGAGCTAAATCATAAGATAACAAATGAAAGATGAAAAACACACTTTTTTGTTGAAATATCCAGATGCTGGTTTTCTTCTCCACTTATATCCTGTTGCCAAGTCAGCCCAAATCTTTGATCGTCGCTGATTTTCAATTGAAGAAACAAAGGCCAGCGCCAGAAATCTGCCATTTACTGGAGATTAACTTACTCTTGGTCCACGNTGGAGATTAACTTACTCTTGGTCCACGGTTGGTTGCTTGGGACTGTCGATTAGACACATCGTCTAATTCTTGCATCATTTCAGACCTGCTGAGCTTATATAACGTTTCATGAGCTCTCGTTATAAATGGCTGCATTATATTTCCTCCCTTAACAAAAAAAAATAAGCTGAACAATTTCAACCATTATGATCACACACACACACACGAAAGAGGATATAAAAACATTAATTACCTGCTTGAAATGGGTATCCTAATCCGCAACAGTCTGAAAAAACCACCCTCCCTGGCATCCTCATCAATGATCAGCTCAAGCTTTCAGCTCAAGCTTGAACATCCTATTAATCCAATCCCAGAACATGCTGGGCTCATCCAAGCTGAACCTTGATGTGAGCAGGGCAGTCTCAATTAGTACCATACCCGATTGAAGCAAGAAAAAAAAGCTCTATCAAATGAAAATTAAAAAACCCAAACCAATAGGGATATATATTAAACGAACATGAAAAGTCTAAAAACAATGCATCAGGATTTGGGAAATTTGAATGTGAAACTCACATTGAGGAATATCATATATTGAGAAATGTATGGAGGTGTCTGAACGTTCCCGCATAAATTTGGGTAGAACTTACTCCTTGCTCGAATTCAGCCGCTAAGTC